CTGACCAATGATTACAGTTTCCACCAGAAAACATTCTAATAGTCTCTAACAGAGATGATTTAGTGTAAGAATGACTTCCTTAGCAAGGGAGAGAAGTCTTTGGTATATCTCAGTGGAGTCACTGTCTTCCCAGTTAAAAGGACTCCAGGAATTCCAACATGTATTTAAAAAAGAAACTTTTTGTACATCAAAAAGAAACTTCTTATAATGGAGTACCAATTCTCCCCACCCCTTCTCTCTCTCTCTCTCTCTCTCTCTCTCTATATATATATATATATGTTTTTTTTTTTTCCTTCAGCTACTTGATGGAATCTCTTCTGCAGTGAGCTCTGGTTAAATATCTTTGATATAATTAACTTCCTGTGGCACCGTTTGACACTTCTTGCAGCTTAGAAAACAATAACTTTCACAGTAAAAATGATTTAGTGGCAGCATAATGTGCCCTGCTAGAAATGTTTTGAGATAAAGATTCCCAATATGCAATTATTATTAGCTTGATTTGGAAAATACTGTGTGATAAAAACTATTTGAAGAATAGCCACTTTAGTTTATCTAGTGTCAGAGAATGCACTTAACAAACTGAAGGTCTTCATTAGTGGGTAAAACTCTGACAGTCTTTGTGGAAATATTTAATTTAAAAAACTTGTTTGCTAATTAAATAATTGAATATGAATATATATATACATCTTATGATGGGGTAGCTATTTCCTAATTTTTAGTATGGTGTATGTCAGCTCTAATCTACTACAATTATTAAATTGATTGTCCTTTATGGCAATAAACGTGAAAGGCATGCCTTTATAAGCTCAAGAAGCAAAATACAAAACAACGAAGTTTGATCATCTGACACTGACTCATTTTCATTCTACTGAGTTTAAACTTACATGCCTCACATAGCCCCTCCTTACTGAACCAATTTTCACCAGACGACTCCTGTTCCTAGATGAACTGAATTTCTACAAATGGCCTGCCTCTGTGGTCCTCTATATAGGCAAACCTGTCATTGAAGTCCTGATCTCTTTTGAAGGGACTTCAAAGGTTCATTGAAATCCAAAACTTTCCTTGAAGTTAAGTCAAGTTTTGCCTGTTTTAGGGCTGCAGGATTTCATCCAGAAAAGCCTAGGCAGTTAACAAGGAAAGAACATGTTAACCTGGTTGGATTTCATCACAAGTGGAATTTGGTCTGACAATTTTGGCTCCGTTAGGGGGTTTAAAGCATATTCAGCTGTGGAAATGATAAAAGGATTCCCCTACCTGGTTTTATAGCACAATAGCTAAAAGACCAGCAGGTATTTCCAAGCATCTTTTAGTGCATATCCCAAACTGCTACACCAGCTGGATTTTCAGTGAATGAAATAACCCTGCTGCTAAAGCATTTGAATCCCAGTCAAAGTCGTTGACAGTAAAAATCCAGGTGGCTATGCAAATTGGTCATTTCCTTAAATAGTAATTTGAGTTTCATAGGTGAGTACTGCTAATAATGACAACCAACACCTGTGTAGCATGTTTCAAATCACAGAACAACTTTTATGTATATTATCTCAATTAGTCTTCACTAAAACCCTAAGAGATGAAGAAATGAAAGTTCAGAGAGAGTAGGTGACTTGCCCCCGGTTACACGGGTAGCAAGTGGTGAGCCGGAATTTGAACCCAGATGTAGGGACACAGTGGGCTTTCCATTAGACTAGGAGTGACTGCTGGTGCAGGTGATTATTGATTCATAGATCTTGAGTCAAAGAACAAGAGCTGCTTTGTCTTCTATCAGAGGTCCTATTTCTGTGGGTCCCTTTTTGAAAGTAGAATAATGTGGCCAGTGGAGAATTTACCAAAGGCAAAGGGAATATAGAATTGGTTGTAGGAAAAGGTAGTTATTAATACCTGCTGTGCCAACATGACTAGTCACAGAAATGAGAACTGTAATTGTCATAAATAGTTTCTCATTTCTAAATGCAAATATTTATGTGTATGTGTACATATGCTAAGTAAATATTAAATATGTTAAGTGAATATCCTCCTGTTTTTGTTTGATTTAGTATTACCTTGTCATGTAATATAAAATGTTTGATTTCATATCAGTATTTAGTACTGTTCATTTTATATCATCGTATTTAAGCTAGGGGATATCACAAGAGAGAACATGACTGAAGGATTTTACTTCTTCTTCTAGGTAGAGGGTTCATGTATTTTAGATTTACACAGAAAAGTTCCATCATATTAGATGCACTGATAACCTTGCTAATTTTTTTTACTTGGAGATTAAACATAGTTTGAAGAGATGTATATGAGTGCCTAGCTGACAGATTTTGGCCTTCTTTTAAATTTATGTGTCATTTTTACTGGGCTAAGGGATGCCCAGATAGCTGGTAAATCATTATTTTTGGATATGTTTGTGAGGATCTTTCTGGAAGAAATTAGGATTTGAATTGTTACCTTGAGTAGGAATATCACTATTACCAATGTAAATGGACATCATGCAATCCATTGAGGGCCTGGATAGAATAAAAAGGTGGAGGAAATGTGAATTTCCTTTCTCTTCTTGTAATAGGATATCTGTCCTCTCCTACCCTCAGACATTGAAACTTGTTTCTTGGGACTTTGGGTTCAGACAAGAGCTGCATAACCGACCCCCAATTCTCATGCCTTTGGACTCAAACTGAATCACAGCACTGACTTTCCTGATTCTCCACCTTATAGATCTAACTCATGGGACTTTTTCATCTCCATAATAGCATAAGCCAATAATCAATCTCTCTCTCGCTCTCTCTCTCTCCCTCCCTCCCTCTCTCTCTCTCTCCTTCTCTCCCCATATATCCTGTTGTTTCTGTTTCTCTGGAGAACTCTGAAAAACACAGAGGAATTCTCTGAGTTGATACAACTTATTCTTCTAAATTTTTAAGGAAAGCTGGAAATTCTCATATTGATAGAAACCATATAATTCTTGGATGTTAACAACTATATTAGTTTGGGTCATTGTTCTCAACTCTACATTCCTCCGCGTAGTAGAATTATACATTCACACACTTTGCCATGTAACTTTTTAGGGCTTCCAATGGGACAGGCAGAGTTTACATGACACACCTAATTGGCTCTGTATGTGGCCATGTGATATGGTTTGCCCAAAGAAATATGGGAAAAGTGAGCTGTGATTTTAAAGGTACCTTTTATTGCTCACTCCTCTGTGCTCCTGAATTTACCTGGGGAAAGGCTCATTTTGTAGCCCCAGATCAAGGAAACAGGTGGAGCAGACTACAATCTGCCTGCAGTTTGGATCCAAGCTCAGCCAGTCCCAGCAGATGCTGCTGGATTCCGGCTGAGCCCAGCACAGTCTCAGCCAACGGGAGACTGTGGATAAGGAATACATGCGTGTGTGTGTGTAAGTCATTGAGATTTAGGGTTATTATCCAGTAATATTACAGCAAAGCTTGACAACTTAAAACCCTTTTACCCCTTTTTAAAAACCATTGTAGCCTAGATGTAGACCAGATACAGCGTGCAGGTTACAAATCTTGGATTTGTGAAGTGGATCTTTGGCAATGTCTTTTCCAATTCTACCATTCAGACCTCTGGAAAACAGTTATGCCAAATGTTGGATATAAAGGATATTTAGAGCAAATAGGTTATGATTTTAAGGACATCTATGTAATCTGTGTGTTCTTTGGCAGCAGAGACACATAAACTAAGGGGCAAACATAACTAATTGAAGATGGAGGGAAATGAAAATTTTCCTTATCTATACAGACAGATCTAATCCTTAGGGAATTGTTTTGTATCACTCATGTTTGTTACAATCAAAACTTTTCAAGATTTCCTAAAAAAACTTAAAAGATGAGTTTTATTTTTGCCACTCCATCCTTGAGAAAATTTCAAAGATTTGTCTTTATATTTAATACTTCATCCTCCTTCACTATAAAAGAGCAATCTTAATTATTAAAAGAAATATCTCATGCTTACTAGGTCTTAGGAAATACAGTTATTTACTTTACAGGGCAATGTCATCTGGAGAATTAAATGACTCTTTTCTCCAGCACTCAGGAGCAAATTAGCATACATAGACATATAGGCAGAGAGAAAGTGTCTATAATCTCTAATCGCAGAGCTGTACTATCACAGGTGTCTCAGTTGAGTGAGAGAATGTCACAACAAATCTAGAACCAGTCTCCTCTCTCCAATCTAAGCCTTCTGGCCTTAAAACAAGAGCAGCTGTACACAGTGTCTAATCTGGACCTGACTAGTGCTCTTCAACTGAACCATCTCATCGTTAGTAATGTATGCCATTATGGCAGAGGGCAGCGCTGAAAAGTACACTCAAACACCAATACAGTCCTTACTTATCACTGAAGGCTCCCAGGCAGGAATGGATCTGGTACAAGAGGAAGCTCCCTAAACTCTATTACAAATCAGGCTCACAGGTCCTTGGAATCGAGTCTGTCCTGCTACCCAAATAATTGTGTCTCACTGTGTTTACCAGGGAAAAATCTAGGGCACTGGGGGGGCCCAATAAACTATGATATCAAGGAAGTCATTAAGTAACATTTAAAATGACACTAGAAAGGCAAGTGTGTGAGATGGAGGACATTTGAAGGACAAGCGAGTAAGATGGACCTGAGAGAAGAGAGCAGTTATGGGGTTAGATGGGATGCGTGAAAGAAAAGAGAGGGGGAGGGAGATAGAAGGAGAGCAAATGGGAAAATGTGCCACATTTTATGCTTACATTTTTTTCGGGAAGTTGCAAGGTCTGAGACAGTGCCCCATGAGATGATTGTGGTTTCCTCCTCATCCCCATTTTAAAATAATGATCTATATCGTGAACAGAAAAGGACATTTGAAGAGGTCAAACACTGTTGGACAAAGTGCAAAGTAAAATCAATAAGCATTATGGTTAAGAGCCTGGAAATGAATATCAAACAGACCTGGTTTAAATCACAGTTCTCTACTTACTGGCTTTGTGACCCAGGACACTGTACTTGTTTAACCTTTCCAACTCTCATTTTTTTTTCCAGGAAAAATAGTGCACATCTCAGAGTGATACTAGAAGGATAAAACAACAATACATGTAGACTGCTCAGTGTGGAGACTTGCAGACTGTAAGCATGAGAACATCAGAGCTGAAAGGTGAGCAGATTCTGGCTATGGTGGGCCTTGGGGAAGAAGGGATGAGAGTTTCATTTGGTGATAATGTTGTATTTGTGAAGATTTAATCCATGTATAGTCAACACATTCACTAAGAATTAAAACCTGCTTATTTTGTTTTCTCTCAGACAGATAAAATCATTTCCTAGGACAGCTATTAACAAAGTACCATAGGCTGTATGGTCTCAAACAACAAAAGCATATTGTCTCACAGTTCTAAAGCCTAGAAGCCCAAAAGTCAAAGTGTCAGCATGGTCATGTGCCCATTGGGACTCTGGGTAGAATCCTTGCTTTTCCCTGATAGTCAGCCCTTAATCTTCCTTGACTTCCTGCTTTAGTCCTATTGTCTGTGCCCGGGTGTCACATAGTGTAATCTGTCAGTCATTCTTTCTGTTTCTCTCTCTACTAAAACTTCTGGGCCGGGGATTTAGCCCAGTGGTTCTGTCGCCTGCCTCGCAAGCGCAAGGACCCGAGTTCGATCCCCGGTACCAAAAAACAAAAAAACAAACAAACTCCTGTCATACTGTATTAGGGTACACCCTAATGACTTCATCTTACTTTGATCATATCTGCAGACACCCTGTTTCCAAATCTAGTCACAATGAGAGGTTCTGGGAATTAGAGCTCACCTTATTGGTGGACACAATTCAACTCACAGCAGTAGGGGAGTGAGGATTACAGGGAAGAGCCGGTTTTCCAGAGATTTAGGGGATTCTTTCTGTAGGATGTATATGATTCTTTCTGAGATGTATATGATTGAAGCTCTCATTCTTCTTAGTTCCTAGATTAGATTTAGTGTCTGAATTATCAAATCATGGTTTTAATGACTTTACACGTATTTTTCTAAAGTCTATTTTCTTTCTTCCTCTCTCCTCTCTCCCCTCTCCCCCCTCCCCTCTCCCCTCTCCCCTCTTCCTTCTCCTCTCCTCTTTTCTTTCTTCAGTACTGGGGATTGAATCCACTGTCGTGCCATGCTAGACATGCACTCTATACACATTCCTAGTCTCCTGCTTCAGCCTCCAAAGTAGCTGAGGTTAGAGGTATACATCACTACACCTAGCTAAAAGTTTTCTTAAGGATAATCTCTGTCTTTCTAACATTTTTCCTGTCTCTTATGATAAGGAGCGCTTTCCTTACCTATATGAGAAAAATCTATAAGATATAAAAAGCTAATCATTTTTAAAACTATGCTAGAAGCAGTATGTATAAAGTAATTTGTTAGCGCCACTGTAAACTTTCTAAAATGGCTCCTTTGAATGGGTATTATTGGAAGGTTCATGATCTTTTGGTCGATTTAAGACTAAGCTGAATTAGAGCATCAAGTGTTCCTGCTGTGATGGGGTCTCCCACTCTCTGCCTCCTTCACTCATCTGGCGTGTTTTGGACTCACATGTTAAGAGTGTATAGTGCTGAGGTTAGCTGTAGCCTCATAAATGAATTAAAATGATTTCAGTTTTTAAAAATTAAAGAACTTTTTTTCTCTGAGCTAGATAATAATTAGAATAGTTTAAGCATATACTCAAAAGCTATTTTCAGACCCAGAGTGAAAGAGACAGTCAAAGAGATTGTGCGCTTTTACACTTGGTTTTATTTATCACCCTGTAATATACCCATAGACATGCTCAAACTCTACTGCCTGAAAAAGGGTACCTCCCTGTCTGCCTGCCCCACCTCAGCCATAATGGGGGTTGAATGAAGACCAGTGGGGCTTTCAATCTACAGCCCAGCCCTTGGGGGGAAATTTGGGAATACCATTCAGTAAAGATGGTAACTCGATTTTAGTCTTTCCCACTTGTTCTTTTAAAAATAAAACATCTCCTTCGAATCCTACTCTTAGACAAAGTCTCATTTGACCTCAAACAAAAGGGCCAAGTTCCTTTTCAGCAGATTAGAGAAATTTATATTTCAGCTGGTGATTTTCACATGTTATTTATTCTCCCTCAGTGCAGATATTTTATGAGGATGGACACAGTGACTTCAGTTGGAAAAATGGCTACAATCTGTGTTTCCTTAGGAAGAAAAAATTGCATGTCAGGAGTGTGCAGATTTAGTCCCTGCATAGAGATTTACCCAAGGAGTCCGTTAAAAACATAATATGAGAGGACAGTACCATTTCAGCAGGTCAGCTGTGCTGGCCCTGGGGGAAGATCTGTTATGCAGAAGACTTCAGCCCATGGGTCCACTAGTTTATTTAGCTTGAGGGTTTTAAAATCAGAAGTTGAACTCTGGAAGGAATGATAATGCAGTGCTTAAAAAGTACCACATTAGTTTAACAGGAAAAAAGAACAAATCCATTCTATTTTAGCTAGGACTTGAACTATCTTCACAGTTGTCATCTTTTTCTCAGCTATGTGTCCTTCTCATCATTTTTTAAAAAGCTAGGTGAATAAAAGTAATGCAAAATAAAAATTACATTTTGTGGAAATCCTCTGGGAACTAAAAATAAAGGAGATAAGATAATATAAAGAAATAAAAATGGGCTGAGGGTGAGTGTAACTGAATGGTAAGCATGGAATGAAGTCTTGAGTTTGATCTCCAGCACCAGGAAAAGCAAAAACAAAAGCGAGATAAAAGTGAAATGTAACAAAACTGGGAAGATTTCAATTGAAATAAAAATGGAATATGTAAGAAAGTAAAAGAATCATGTTCAGTTAAATGAGTAATGTTAAATACAGTTGTTAAAGTAGGAATAAAAACACTAGTTTTAAGCTGAGCATGATGGCCCATACCTGTAATCCCATCTCTCTAGGAGGCTGAGGTAGAAGTATCATAAGTTCAAGCCCAACTTGGGAAATTGGTCACTTAGCAAAACCCTGTCTCAAAAAAAAGCAGACAGGTGGATGTCAGTGTGAAGGACTTGGGTTTAATCCTTAATACCATCAAAATAATAATAAGTTTCTTTTCTTTTTTTGGTATTGAGGATTGAACTTGGGTCCTTGCGCTTGCGCAGCAGGTGGCAAAACCACTGAGCTAAATCCCTGGCCCAATAAGTTTTTAATGAGAAAAATTTTAGCCATTAGAGTAGGGGAAATTAGAAAAAAAAAACAGAGGATATATAGCAGAACAACCTAAATACTAACAAAATAAAAATTTAAAAAGTTTTATTAAAATGTAAGGAAGTGGAATGTTTCTTTACTTTAAGAAGGTGTTGACCAAAGAGCTTCATGGAATGTATGATGCTGGATCAAAGATCAAGGGCAAATATAGCTCCATAGGGCAACTTACAGAGTCCTTCAAATAAGGACTTCCCATTCAGTGATCTTCTTGAGGCTGGGAATCCCTTGGGATTCCTTGTTGGGAACTGGGTCAATAGTTTGAGGATAAAAGCCATGCACACAGGCCATTTTCTTTTCATCTACTAGAAGCTATTTGCCTTCAAGGGCAGAATTTTTATAAATTGAGGCAAGGTTATTATTATTATTATATTAATATTGCTATCTGTTATAGTTGCTATTATGTTGATTACTAGTGGTGATTGAGAAATTGAAGCTGAAATGGCTTAAACGATGGGTAATAGAGCAAGTAATTGGCAGGGCAGAGCTTGGGTATCAGAAACTCTGCTCCTCCCTAGTTGGTAGCCAGGTATGTGATGGTCAACCCGGAGCTTTCTTCACAGTAAGGCTTCTGTACATGTTGAAATGAAGGAGCCTAGAGGAGAGTGATGAAAATCTCTGAGGCTTAAGACCTACAATTATTTGGAGGTGAGGGGAAGTTGAAGAATTGGTAATTTAGGGGAGAGTTTACGCTCAGTCTCAAATATGTGAGGTGTTCCTTTACAAAATCCTGACAAGGTTGTTTCTGAAGATGGAAGTGAGCCCCTTCCTGTATCTTTAAAGTTGGGAATGGTCTATGACAATGCAAACATTTGGTGACATCAAGCATGACAGAATCCATCCTGGGATCCTCAGCTCTTTCCACCATTCACTGCCTTGCTGAGAAGACACCAAGGCACAGTGGGGAAGGTCTTGCTGGAGATGACCATCCAGAGACGACAGACGGGAGATTACTCATCGAGCATATCACCCCCAATTTTTCACTCCTCTTGGTTCTCTGAGTCCCTTGTTCTGTCATTTAATTCCATTCTTCATCCTTTTAATGCCTCTAGCAAAAGTAAGACTGGTAGGAATCTCTTCATTTGGCCCTAGAACCTACTGCTTAAGCAGGTGTCCTCTGCTCACACACCACCCTGCCGAAGAAGGAGAATCAGAAAGCTAAGTCATTTCCCTGCCCCAAAGTCTCTCCTCCTCCCTCCTCCCTCCCTCCCTCCCTCCCTCCCTCCCTCTTTCTCATTGGCTGTTGTTTGGTAAAAAGTGCCATTTCTAGGGCAAAGTGCAAAATTCATTGGATTTTGAGTTAGCTGGGTAGGTATTTGGAAGCACAAGACTTGGCTAAGAAATCCAGAGGTTTTGTTTTATTTTTTGGTGTAATCTCAGTTCCTATGAATAGGAATCATCAATTCCTGTATCTCTGCTGCAGAACTTGTCCCAGAATTTCCCTTGTGCTAAGGATCATTAAAAGCAGCATCCAGTGGTGTAAAGCAGACATCAAAGACCAATTTAGACAGTAGCTTTCTCTGGAACGAACAATAGTGAACCATATTTATCATAGAAAAGCCAAAATCTTGATTAGTGGCCAAATAGAGAATGGACTTGCATATCAGAAGACATCAAAGCTGGTGTGAATTTTGTCACCATATCTAAATGTTGAGCTATGGTTTGGCTGGGCTATCCAAAATCCCTAGTCTAGAGTAGGGCTGCTAGATTTAGCAAATAAAAACACAAGATGCTCAGTTAAATCTGAATTTCAGATAAACAATTGATTTTGAAGATACAAATGTTTCCCAAATGTTGCATAGTATATACTTATACTAAATAAACACTAGCTGTTTATCCAAAATTAAAACATAACAGGACGTCCTCTAATGTATTGAGTATAACTCCAAGATCAGAAGACAGGTGACTTGCTGATGTCAGAGTAGGAAA